TATAATTTCAGGTCAGGGATTGTGATTCCACCTGACTTGTCTTTGTTGCCCAGGATTGCTTTTGCTATTCTGGGTCTCTTCTGGTTCCAGATGAATTTAAGGCATGTTTTCTTTAGATTTTAAAGAAAAAAGGTATTAATTTCTGTGGTATTAATTAAGGATAAGCACAAAAGCTTGAATTATCTATTGCCATAAACAAAACAACTTCACACTACCCTTTACCTATGGTATCATATCAATAAATATTTACCATGTTCTAGGTTGCACAGTAAGCTATTCCCCCAAACAAATAAAATGTGTGTTTATACTGAATGAATTTAAAATTCAGGACTCATTTTCACCCATAGATGTGCCTTTGTTTAATTTTATTTGACTGCCACTCACTAGTCATTTTGGTCCATATTGCTGTATCAGAAAACACTGGGCCAGTAAGATGGCAGATATGGAAATTGTCTGAATCAGATAATGTTTCTTTTTTCCTTCTTTTAAAGAAAGTAAAGTCAGTGATGATAGCATAGAATGATAATCAGACTTGAGTTAGTTAAGGAGCCATTAGTTTAGCCATTGTAGATCATCTGCATCAGTACCAAAGAGAAACACTTAGGAGTTAAAAATTTCTTAGGTAGCCGGATGTAATAGTGCATGTCTGTAATCCCAGCACTCAGGAAGCTGAGGCAGGAGGACAGTTGTGAGTTTGAGACCAGCCCGGGCTACAAACTGAGCTCAAGCCCAGCCTGAACTGCAGAGTGAGATCCTGTCTTAAAAAGACAAAAAGAAAGAAACTCTGTTAGGTAATGTGGGGAAATGACTCAGAGATTGGTTGAAGACAGCACTGAAGAGCAAGATAAATAAACTTATCAGTATGACCCATACCAGAAGTGTTTTTAAGTATGTGAATGGAACAGAAGTTTGGAAACTAAAGAAGCAAAAGTATGAACAAGAAGAAAGCCCATTGCACCTCTGTCCTGTCTTAGGATTATGGTGTGCAGAAAGTGGAATTATGAGCTTTATCCATTGAATTTGGGCCCCAAGGAGAGGTGGTGTCCTTATTGAGCCAGGTTACTTATACCAGAAGGTAGAGTACATTCAACATGGAAGCCAAGGATGCCAGGCAGTTTTCCAGTGGAATAAGATGTCTTGAGGCTGGTAGGATTGGTAAAATGGGTGTTATAGTGGAGGAAACAGTTAGTTCTGCGATGAAGTTTTTGTTCATACATTTAATAAATGTTTCTTAAATATATGTTTTGTGACAAGCAATGGCAATAAAAAACTTTAGATGTCATTCTTTCTCACATTGAATGAAATATAACTAAATTAATGAAAATGAAATATAATGAAAATCTCAGTTCCTCAATCACAGTATACACATTTCAAGTGCTTAACCATTAGCAACTGCCATATTGATAGCACAACTATAGAATATTTCCATCACTGCAGAAAGTTCTGTTGGAAAGAGGGTATGAGAAAATAAACAAGATTACCAAAGGGCTAATAATCTAGATGACAGTGAAGGATATCAGGCCTTCTGGGAATAACTAGCTCTAAGACTCTGGCTGGCATTTTGACCTGAGGTATTTGGACAATGTCAGCAAGACAAAGGGTGACCTTCTTAGAGTCTCTTCCAAACAACGTAAATCTTTATGCTCTGCTAACCAATATCTTTCTTTACCATTATTTGCATCAGTCAACTGTGGGCACCTAGATGGGGACTCTAAAAATGTCTCCCCTATCTTCATTCCATTCCTAGATTGTATTTGGCTACTAATGGAATACTTTCCCTGTGCCTTTGAGTTTAATGAAGACTTCTTGATGGAGATCCATGATCATGTTTTTCCTTGCCAGTTTGGAAGTTTTCTTGGAAACTGTCAGAAGTATTGGGAAGACCTAAGGTAAATTTAGTTTGAGAAAATGTGAAATAGGGAGAAAAGAGTCACTATAAAAGAAGACACCCACCATCTTGAATTTGGGACAACAGTCAAGTAAGAGGAGGAACTACTAGCAATGAACTTTTAAAACATAAAGGGTTTAAAAAGGGATATCTTGGAACTTCAGATTCCTCTCCTATAAAATGAAGATAATAATGCCTATTTTTCAGAGGAATCATTGGGAATGTAAAAACAATGGTTGTGCAAAGTTGTTTTTAAAGAATCAATTGTTGCCAATAAGTAGTTATTATCTATAGTCTTTTCTACTTGTACTAAATATAACAAATCAGCATTTTATAGACAAATCTTGACCCAACAAATACAGTTTGATTAGATTTTTAAACTGTGAATTTAGCTGCCAACATTTAAATAAGGAATTCAGAGCTGGGGATGTGGCTTAGTGGTATAGTGCTTGCCTTGCTATCACAAGGCCCTGGGTTCAATCCCCAGCACCACCAAAAAAACCCACAAGGAATTCACATAAAAAGTCAGTTAATTTAAGATTTTTTTCTAAAAGTAGAATAGCCACTGTACAAAAGTATTCTGAAACATCGAGAACTCTGGCAATACTAGACCTGAATTTTCTTCTGGCAGCATAGTAATCAGCTAGAGTTAATTATATAGAAGTTGCTCTATTTTGATGAGACAAACTTACTCCTGCTGTCCACAGTTCTATTTTCAGCCCACTTCTAATGCTATCTGCCTGGTTCTCGTAGGCTATTGAATTTGTACCCCTAACTTAAGCTAACATGCTTATAATATATAAAACATAAATATTTTTTGAGATTGACAATATAGAATACCCATGAGAAGTATTCTCATTATTTTCAAGACCTAGAAAAAGAAAGAGAAAAGTAGCCTTTTTATAACCCAATTCTGTGTCACAGCTATTAGTTGTGTTAGCAATTAGCTCAAGTTCTCAGGTCCTTTTACAATGCAGTCTAGATGACATCACTTCTCCATCATTTTATTTTCTTATCAACACAGAGAACAGTGATAACTGCTTCTTCTTTAACATTTGTACTTATTTCCATGGATATTTCTCTCTTTTTACAACTAGACCTTTGTTACTCTTTCTCCAACTGTTTTTAGACACATTAATCTTTCTCTGTCTAGGCATTAAAATTGAAGTTCATTCCATAATATATTTAAAATGACACGGATGTATTTGAACTCATTTCCCACACAAAAATCTGAATCTCCATTGTAAATTACAATCATTAAACATTTTAAAGTATTAAATTATTGATAACTTAAAATAAGCAGAAATATCAATAATCCATAAAGATAAAAAACATGTCTTAGATTCAGACAGACCTAGATTCAAACTGTGACTGCCACTCAATAGCTACATGACCTTTAACAAATGACTTATTGTCTCATTTTCTTATTAATAATTAGGGCTTTATTATGAAAATTTAAAGAGATGTTTTGGATGAAGAATCAAATAGTGTTTGACAATGTGCAGCAAATATTAGTTGTATTACCTGTGGAAGATTTATTTTTTGTTTCTGGGTCAGCAAAATACTATAAAGATGGATATATAGAGCTTTTGGCCACACTAAAATCGTGTAAGGATTTAAGGATTCTAAGTTATAAGACTACAATATTGGGTCTTACCACTCCTACCACTCCTCTTCATTCTCCTTCTTCAGCTTGCTTTGTCATGGTGTGAACAGATGACCTTCCATGTGTGGTTACACAGTTCTCATTTGCCGTATCAAAATGGAACAGCTACTATTTCATTCTAGTTAATTATTGCTATGAGAAAATGCAGGTCTGGTATTGCCAGAACACCCTCCATGTATGGTAACACTGTGGAGCCCATACATTTTGAGGTTTTTATTTAAGGTGCCTTGATAGTTGAATAGGCTCCTCATGGTCTCTACTGAAGTATAAGAATTGGCTTTATAATAGAAACACCACCTGAAATAAATGATGAATATCTGCTGGTTTAAATTGCCAGCTGTCTTTCATTGTCTTAAACCTGAAAGGAGAAGATGGTTATAATTAAAAACAAATACAGAAGATCCAGAAATATACCCTTGAGGATTTCCATCTCTTAACAAGTTTTAGAACAAATCCACAATTTTTAAAATTGAAAATGTCACCAGTTCATAGAATCCTCAATTTAGAAGACTTTAGAGTTTACATTTGATAGATGAGGAAACAGGCTCAGAAAGGCCTAGGAAGTTTACTAAGACCACACAGATACTCCACTGCAGAGACTGGACTTAGAATCTTTTGATAATATGAAACTATGTTGAACTTGTTCTTCATTTTCATGATGGATAAACTGAAGCCCAGATAATGTCCTTCTGCACAAACACTTATTAGCCAATTATTTTGATTTTCCTTCTATCACATCCTATCAGTCTCTCTCCAGTTGTGTTATGTAGTAAAATAACTGGTTATCAACTTCAGCAGTACTATTGAGATTATTCGCTTGATGTCTTTTTTTCCTGTTGCATGGAGGATTGTTTTCAATCTTTTGACTTTAAGTCTGTAGATTTCCTTTTGAGTAAAATGTGTTTCCTGTATATAGCATATCATTGGATTTTGGTTTTTAATCCACCCTGCCAGTCTGTTTCTTTTGACTGGAGAATTGAGGCCATGTTCATTTATGGTTATAACTGATATGTGTTGATTTATCATTGTCATGTTATTTATTTGCATTGATGTCCTACTTTTTCTACTTGTTTACTTGCTTGCTCTTCTTGACGTTTCATTTCTACTGTTGTTTTTGAAATGGCGGTCAGATTTTTATCTGTCTAGAATATCTTTTAGTACTCTTTGTAATGCTGGCTCAGCACTCATGAAGTTCTTCAATTGTTCTTTGTCATGAAAATATTTCATTTCTCTGTTGAATTTGAGGGATAGTTTGGCAGGGTACATCAGTCTTGGTTGGAAGCTGTTCTGTCTTAGGACTTGTAATACTTCACTCCAAGGTCTTCTCGATTGGATTTTTTGTGCTGAGAAGTCTGCCATGATTCTGATGGGCTTTCCTTTATAGGTAATCTGTTTCTTTTCTCTAGCAGCTTTTTATATTCTGTTCTTTTGCTGGAGATCTGGGAACTTGACTATTATATGTCTGGTATAGTTTTATTTTTGGTTGTGGTTCGTTGAAGTTCTATAAGTGTCATTTACCTATATATAAGGTTCTGTTTCCATACTTGGGAAATTTTGTGCTATTATTTCTGCAAATATTCTTTTTATGTCAGTTGTGTTGCCTCCTGCTGTTACATTGACTCCTATAAGTCGTACATTATTCCTCTTTGCCTCATCTTGCAGCTGTTGAATTGACTTTTCCTGGATCCTTGTTGATTCTGCAAGATCCTTTCTTTCAGGGTCACTAGCTGTCATGCTGTTTTCAAAGTCTGAAGTTCTATCTTCAGCTTCATTCAAGTGGTTTTGCCAGCCTTCAGTGAAAGCTTTGTTTTCCTAGAAGTTTCTTTGAATCTGGTTCATGTGTTCTAAGTTCTTTCTATATTTTTCATTTAACACTTCTGTTTATTGCCTTTGTTCTTCTATTTTCTTACATGTTTCTTCTTCAGACGTTTTGAGCATTTCCTTCATTATTATTGTCATTTCGTTTTTTTGCCTGAGAGATTATTTCTGATCTCATCTCTTCTATGGCCTAATGGAGTTGTTTGTTTACTTCCATTGCAATCATTTCAGCTATTTCAGGCATGTGTTTACCAAGTTCTCCTGTATCGATGTCTCCTGGACTTGTTCTGAGTGGGGTGGAGCTCTGGGACTGTGTTTTAGTCCTTATTTTTGTCATGTTTGCTACCAGATACAGAAAGCTCAGTTTCTGTCTTCAGTAGCTGCACAGCAAAGGCCACTAATGTCCCTAGTTTTCCTGTTGGTCAGGTTTGCCCCTCAGTGACCTCTGAGAAGCACTACTTAGTATTGAGTTTTCCCACAGTTGTTGATTTTTTTCTAGTTATCCCAGGTTGCAGACGCTGGCCTTGGTGTCAGCTGATGGCAGACCATCTGATCCAGCATCCCCTTGCAGTTCAGGGCACTTGCACGGCCCAGACTCGGGTTGCACTGGTGTGACAATACCAGCCCAGTGGACCTATGTTCACAGGCAGTTCAGGTTACAGGCAAAGCCCAGACTCAAACTTCAGGTTCAACATTTTGTGAACCACCTGATTCTGTGTCTCCAGTCAGTTCAGGACACACACAGGAACCAGACGCAGGCCGGATGGCCAGCAATCACAGACTCCCATGCCTGCGATCCCCTAGGGGGTCTGGGTGCAAGTAAAGCACAGACTTGGACAGCTGGCCCAGCAACTCTTGGAGCACTTGCTCACTTGGCACAGGGCACATGCAGGGAGGGGACACATGTGTACCCCAGTGAGAGCAGTCCACGGAGCTTCTGAGTGAGGACCTCCTGTCTGGCTCTCTCCACGAGTTTCAGCTGGGAACCTTCGCAGTGGGAGTAAAGCACAGACTTGAACCGTGAGACCAGCAGCACTTGGAGCACTAGCTCATTCAGCACAGGGCGTGCACAGGGAGGGGCCACACGTGCCCCCCAGCTAGAGCAGTCCCTGGGGCTTCTGAGTGAGGACCTCCTGTCTGCCGTGGGTGCACAAAGGGCAGAGACTCAGTCCGTAATGGCGGCGGGGTCCTGGGTTGCCTGCTCTGCCCCCAGGAAGTAGATGGAAAATACCTGGCTCTCTCCACGAGTTTCAGCTGGGAACTGTGATGGTGGGAGTAAAGCACGGACGTGAACCATAGAACCAGCAACTCTTGTAGCACTCGCTCACTTGGCGCAGGGTGCACACTAGGTGATTTATTTGTGATTGATCTGTTTTTCTGATTTGGACACTCAGAAGTATTAATTTCCCTCTTAGGACTTTTGTCATTATGTCCCATAAGCGTTGGTGTGTGGAACTGGTATTATCATTGATTCTAGGAACTGTATACTTTCTTCTTTGAATTTTTCTGTGATTCCTT